TCAGTGTTTGTAGAGAGAGAAAGCTCTAGCCTGGACCTGGTCTCCTGATCAAGCACATCGAGAAAGAGAGGGTCCACCAACACATTGCTCTCCACATAGATAACAAATGGGTGATCCCATACAAGCAATTTAGCCTTCCCTTCGATTTTAACCACTGCCTTGAGCTCCATCTCCCTCCTAATGACGTCCCATATGAGCCTGGCCAAGTGGTGGGTGAGCTCGAGCCCATCGAGCCGGGCACTTAGCCGAAGGGTTCGAACAGATCGAGCCGGTTGTGAGCCTGCCTCGACCTTGGCTTGGCCTAGAAGGGCATCATCGTAATAAATGCACATTGCAGAGGGCGAATACGAGATGGGGGCGAGGTTGGGGTTGGTGACGGAGATGGAGAGGGTGAGTTCGAGGTCGAGGATTGGGATGGGAGGGATGGGGAAGCGAAGGTGGAGGGAGGAGAGAGAAATTGAGAGGAGAGAGAAAGTGGGATCTCGAGGGCGGGCGGCAATGGCCAAGGCAACAGCGGCGGTGGTGGTGGCGCCGAGTGCGACTGTCCAGCCGATGCCGGCACCCATGGAGGATTCTCTCTCTTTCGCTCTGTCGGAGTTGGTAAGCTAGCCAACGCGCCAATGTCTCTGTACCTTGAATTTTGAGAAAATTGGTATTCCCTCTGTCAATCTGGGGCTCTTTAGGAATTGGGAAGAGTCTCGATTTCTCTTTGGGGTAGTTGAAGAGAGCTATGGTTTCTCTCTAGGAAGTAGATCTCTTTTGGGTTATTCCTTGCAGGACTGGAAGTGGGACTAGGAGTAGGCCTAATCTCTCTTTGGGTGAACAACTATGGTGGCGTTGCTCTCTCTCTCTCTCTCTCTGCTTGTAATGGTGGGGGTCTCTCTCTAAGGTGGATTAAAAAGGCTCTCTCTCTCTGGAAGAGATTGGCGAGAAGGGAGATGGAGGGCAGCTATTCTCTCTCGCTAGGAACTCCGAAGAGATCAACTCTCTAATCTCTCTCTCTCTCTCACTCTCTCTGTGGACGACACTCCCCAAAGCAGTGTCAAGTCGAATGTGGGTATGGCAATGGACCGGGCACCTCGGCCTTAAACCTAGTCTGGCCTGATGGC